GTTGCTCTCAGGCCTCCCACAGCCTGACTCCGAGCACCTTGGCTCTCCCCGAGGGAGGATATGATGGGTGTGCCCACAACAAGTCTCCGGCAGAGACAATAGGACAGGAATGCATTAGCTTCCGAACAAACACTGTGTGGGCTCGCACAATTGCCTTGGATTCTCGTCCAAGAAACACATTTCACTGTTCGAGGGCGCGGGTGGCTTGCCTGCCCCAGCCCGCCCACATCCCTTTGTGAGCCAGAGACTTTGATGAGTGGGCTGCTCCTCCCCCCACCCCAGGGCCTTCAACACCCGTGGGGCAGCCTTGGCTCTCCCGTCCCTGCAGCTCTTCTTCCAAAGTGTAATAGCAGGGCCCTGCCCACCCTAAAGAGTGCCCGCTCCTGCCAGGACTTTTTTTAGCCATTTTTTGTGGGTGCACATCTGGTAAAATAGATGTAATACAAAAATTGATATTTTAACCATTTTTTAAGCATAGGCATTCACACTGTTGCACGATCACCACCACATCCACCTCCAGAACTTCTTTCGTCTTGCAAGCTGAAACCCCACCCATGAAACACGAATTCTCCACGCAGGTCTCCCCCGCCCTGGGCAGCCCCCACTCTACCTTCTCTCTCTGTGAGTTTGACCTCTCCAGGTGTCTCGTCTAAGCAGGGTCTTGAGAGCTGGTCCTCTCATGACTGGCTTCTGTCACTTAGCACAGGGTCTTCAAGGTCCATCCTTGTAGCAGGCGACAAGTTCCTTTGTTTTTAAAGCTGAGGAGCAGGCCGCTGTGGGGACACCGCGCGTGTGATCTGTTTCTCGCCAGCGGGCACTGGAGTCGCTTTCACCTCTTGCCTGTTTCGAGCAGCGTTGTCGTGAACATGGGCGGACAAATCTGGTGGAGTTGCCAGCCCTTTTTTGAGACTTGTCTTTGAGTTAAATAAAGCATTATCTCTAGAAGATCCCAAATAGAACAGATATGAGCAAGAGAGCTGCTTGGTTTTCAGCATCCCACAAGGATCCACGTACCCAGAAACTAGCTGCCCCTTGGGAAAGCAGGGGCCTGCAGAAATGGAACACGAAACAAGTAAGCTTGTCCTACATTCAGTACCCTGACCGCCAAGAACACGTCAAGGGCAGATTCCTGGGATGCCATGGTCACCCAGAAGCACGAGAGCCCCCATAGAGTTGTGTCAAGGGCTCCTGGTTATACCACCAAGAGCAGCAAGCGTCACTTCCTGGCTGTGACCATGTGGATGTTCCCTCAGGTGGGGGTTTTTAGGGGGCTGCTCTCCACTACCTCTTCAGCTCTAAGACTCTCAACAGCTGGTCAAGTCAGCCTGTGGTGGGGAGAGCAGGACCTGGTCTGCAGCCACGGGATCCCTCCATGAACTCGACTTCCCAGCAACCACAGGGGAAAGCACAATGACAGACTCCCAATCCCTGACTTCCTTGAGAAAACCCAGCAGGCCACTCACTGGAAAGAGGACCTAAAGCCTCATGTGATTTTTGGCTTAACCCAGACTTTCCCAGACAACCAAGCGAAAGATAAGGTTGAACAGAGACTCTGGGGTTGAGAGGCCACCCTCAGCTCTGCTAGAGAGCCCTCCTCACACACCACTGGGTCCCTTTCCCCACCAGTGAGGAACCTGGAGCCCTGGGGCAGTGGTGTGGGTACAACTCTTAAGAACAGGCCTGTGTGGGCCTCCCTGGTGGTGCAGCGGTTGAGCTCTGGGTTGCAAAGCTGCCCGCAGCCTCTGCAGCACCGGCTTGATCTCTGGCCGCCGGGTGAGGGTCCCACATGGCGCACAGACCTCTCCTGCCGCCCGCTGCTCCCCTCAGCAGTGTCCTTCGGTCCTTCTGCCTGCTCTGCTCCCCGCTCTGGCTCTGGTGAATTCTCTCACCCTCCCGCGCTTCTGACTGTACCCAGTGCTTGTATAAATAAATAAATAAATCTAAAAAAAAAAAAAAAAAAAAGAACAGGCCTGTGGGGGAGTTTGGGCAGGCAGAGAGGGAGAACAGATGTGGAAGGAAAGTAGTTCTGTCTAAAGGTGAGGGGAGAGAGAGAAGACTAAAAAGACATCACCCCGGTCTGTAGCTCTGGATATCCTTGGGGGACAGCAGGCAGGTCTGGGGTGCTAGAAGAAAGGAGACGGAGGCACTAGCTCACCAGAGCAAAGCTCTCAGCTGGCAAAGACATGGATGTCCCACGAGACTCCAGAGCCATGTGGTGGGAGAAACCTCATATTTAGAGCATCTAGAAGGTGCAGCTCCTCACTGTGCTTCCCATCATGTCACCCAAGGCCCAGTGCCCCTCAAAGCTGGTCTCAGGACAGAGCACGGCTCATCTAAACTTACCATGAAAGACATTTACTGAGCACCTACTATGTTAGCCGGAGCCTACCCCTTCCTTCCTTCCCATCAGCTCCAGCTTCTGACTGCTGCCTCCTTCCCTACCCAGAAGTCACCTCCCCCATTCCATCTCTAGGAGTGCTCTCCTGCTAGATACCCCGCTTCTACCCTTTCTGGTGATTTCTCCCAGCGATTTTTATGTAAGCACAATGGGAAAACCTATGAGGGAACAAAGTTACCATCAGAAAGAAGTTCAAGCAAGCCTCACCAAGTTCTCCTGATATTAGGCATTATCTTTCCAGTAGAGTAAATGGGGCTGGGCTCCTCATTCCTCCATTCCCCATCCCATGCAGTCACAGGGTCCTCCATGTCCTGGAACCATAGCAGGCCAGCATGGACGCTGGCCCACAGGACTTGGGTATCCCTGCTGCAGGGCAAGCCACTGCCCCCAAAACCTTTTCCAGAATCTGCTTCTTGGTCTTCACTCTGATCTCTTGGGTCCTCCAGATAGGGAGGCCCTTCTCTGAGTGGCCCCCAGAACTCCCCCCACAGCTCAGGCGTCTGAATTGATGGACGTCTCCCTTGACTCTCCCTGAGGGTCTGTAGCCCTGACTCTGGAAGGAAGAAAATTTCAGAATTCAACTCCAGTGTAGCGGGGGAGGGACAGCCACGTGCTGCAGTGTATTCCAGTTTCTTGGTTAGTGCAGGTTCAAGTTATTCTCAGTCTCTTACTTTGACAATAGAGGAACAAAAGCCTTATATCTGTGTCATAGTGCACATGTGGGCACATGTGCCGGATGAAGTCCCTGAAGTATCACCGCTGGGTCAGAGGGCTGTACAGGTACAGGTTGGTGTCACCACACTGCAGATTCATCAGTTGTAATTCTGTGCCTGCTTCCCTCTGGTGAGAGAGGAGGGTCAGGCATGGTATGAACATGCCCCTCCCTGCACCCTTTCATGGGTTTGCACCTGGGGGGTTGGGGGGGAGACAGGGAGACACAGAACTGAGAAGAGCAGAAGCCCGAGGATGAAAGTTTTTAGAGTACAAAAAATGGGGAGATTTCTCTATTAGGTTGAGAGAAAAAGTGTTAGCCAGCAAAGGGAGGGGTAGAAGTAGTCAGCAGGATTGGGGGGTTTGGGTGAGCCAGATGGCAGAACTCTGAAGCCATACCTGCAGAGAGTTTCTACTGGGGGTTCAGAAGAAACAAAAGTTGGCAAGGATGTGGGAACATCAGAACCCCCAGGCATTGCTGGAGGGAATGTAAAATGGTGCAACCACTATAGAAATAGTCTGGCAGTTTCTCAATTAGCTGAACATGGAGTTACCACATGACCCAGCAATTCTGCTCCTAGGGATGGATGTTCCCAGGAGAATTGAAAACATCTGTACAAATCACATACACCAATGCTAGTATCAGCCTTGTTCCTAATAGCCAAAATGTGGGAACAACCCAAATGATGATGAGCTAACTGATGAATGGATAAGCAAAATGTGGTGTAGCCACAATGGAATATTATTCACCTGTAAAAAGGAATGAAGAAATGATACATGCAAACATGTATCAACTTAAATATGCTATATTGAGTGAAAGAAGCCAATCACAAAAGACTACATATTATATATCTCTTATGGGGAATGTCAAAAATAGGTAAGTCCATGGAGACTGAGATTCAAAGTTGCCGAGGAGTGGCGGGGAGGGGGCTGACTAGTACAATCAAGTGACACTCAACAGTCAACAACAAACCACATATAAGACAGTGGTCCCAATAGGCTAGGCCGTGTAGATTGGTGAAATTACACTCTGTGACATTTACACACCAGCAAATCATCTAATGACACATTTCTCAGATAACATAAGCGCATTATCATTGAGCAAGGCATGACTTCAGTGGTACAGGCTTCTCCTGGTTGGGTGATGAATATGTCCTGGACTTAGTGGTGGTAGCTGCAGATCTACGAATATAGTAGAAGTTACTGAATGGTACTTTAAAATACTTTAAAATGGTGAATTCAGTGTTATATGAATTATATCTCAAATCTAAAAGAGAGACATTGCGAGAACGAGAGGAGGCAGGTAGAGGGTGGACACGAGTATGGTCAGTCCCAATGTTGAGCAGCCTGACCATGGCCTTGGTCAGGAAGCTGTTCCAGCCTCTGGGTAAATAACACAGTGGTGGTTTTATAGGTTCTTAATCCTGGGCCAGTGGAGTAGAGAGCTTTGATTTCTGGAAGCCCTGATATAGCCAGGACCCCAGAGCACCTGAGACCATGGCTGTGCCCCCTTCACCTGTTAGGAATCCCTCAAGCAGTTTGCATTTCTCCAAGGATTTGCACTGCTCAACAGCTGATGACCCCTACTTGCCACCTCCTTGAAACCCACCCACAGCCTTAGTCTGCTGTGACTTCAAATCACAGCCTTAAAGCTAGCCAGGGAGCCTGTGCTCCATGGCCACAGTGGTCCTCCAGCTGCTCAAATCCTCAGAGAAATTGCTGCAGCTGAAGCTGCCTTCCTGGTGCCCTCTGACCTTCATACCTCTCTCTAGCCTGTCCCTTAGAGAGGCCCACTCTGGCCTGCATCAGGGCTGGGTCTGGGGGGCTCGGCTGCAGGGCCTTAGAGCTGGCATGCACCCCTGAGTGTGTTCTCTGCTTCTCTCGTCCACAGCTCCTGCAGTCTCAGGATGTGAAGGAAGATGCCGTCCTGTGCTGCTCCATGGAGGTGAGCAGTGTAGCTTCCCCTCCCCTGCCCCAGAGCCTCTGCGCCCTCAGGCCTCAGCGGAGGCAGAAGCTCAGGGAGGGTTGGTGGGGGGGCCTGGCTTCTGCATCCAGAATTGTCAAGCCAAAATCAGAGCAAATGCTGATGGGGACAGCAGCCTTCCTCGGGCGGGAGGGAGAAGGAACTGCCAGCATTGCCCTCATTCTCTCTGCGCCCCAAACCACCTTCTCCTTGCACCAGGCACACACCACACCCATGATTTCAGAGATTCTGAGTGAACCCCTCTCCCAAATATCTCCTGTGACTTTGATGGTGTGTTTTGTCTGGTGCTGACCCCCGCCCCCCATGTTGGCACTGTCTGCTTCAAAGCAGCGCCCTTGGAAGATTCCAATGCTGCTCCCAAGGCATGGTCACTGCTCACTGCAGCGCTCTCCCAGGATCTTCTTGCAGACACCTTGACTCTAGCTTTGCCCTCGGAGCCCAGAGTGGAGTGCAGGGACGAGAGGGTCTTCTGGCCAGAGCATCCAGGCCTCGTCAGGGCCATGTGAGCACACCTCTCAGGTGGCTTTTGCCCTGCCTCCAAGGCCACTCCCAAGGAGTTCAGAGGCCAGATGTGGCAGGAGCCTGGACACCTTAGCCCTGAGTCTGTGGGACAGTCACACAGTAAATATGTAGAACCTAGCTAGGTACCCTACAGGGGGCTTGGAGCAGGTAAGGGAGAAAGCATAGTCCCTGCCCTCAGACAGCTTCTGGTCTGGCTACCATCTCACACAGGCATCATCTCACACATGCGCACACAGTGGACAAGGCAGTGTAGAGAAGTCTGTGTTCAGAGGACCTATCCCTGGGGAATCAGAGGAGAGGCCAGGGTGGGCTGGGAAGGTCAAGGAAGATTTTGTGACTAAGGTAGAGTCTTGAAAAATGGGTGGAACGAGAGGATGGGCATTGAGATTCTAGACTGAAGACCTGCAGGGGCTGCTGCCTGTGCGATCACGGAGATCAGAGGTTCTCCTTCTCAACAGGGGCTTTTCAAGATTATTGGGGGCCTCTCTGGAGGGCAGGCCCTCTGGCTGGCCTTCTGCCCCAGTTCATATTTCTCTCCTCCCCTACACGTCCCAACTATGGGGAGAGGTTAGTTCTGGAGGTAGGATTGGGGACAGGAGAAAACAAAAGAGAACAAAAAACAGGAGGCCACTTCCCTGCTCCCATGTTGCACATGGACACTCACAGGTGATAATGACTAAGCTCATTTCCAGAGAGACATTGTAGCAGGTGGAAATGAACATGCTGCCAGCTGACCACCTTTGAAGGGAGCAGGTCACACAGGCATTTGAGGCCCACTGTGGATGGTAGTCAGGGAGGGTTTCCTGCAGGAGGAGAGACTTCTGAGTATAAAGGAAAAAGAGCCATTCCTTTTGGTCTTGGGAAGCAGGTACTAACCTGACTCCTCTTACCCCCACTGGCAGATTGAATGTTAAATGTGAGACTTCACAGTTGGCTCTTTTTGCCCATTCCTCCCCAATGGCCTGGAGGCCTGACCCTGCACCTCCCTGAGACAACCCAGCCATTTCCTGTCCCTGTTCCCAGCCCACCTAACCAAGATGGGTCGGGGGCCCGCTACACGGCACATGCCCTGTCCTAACCCCCAGCTCTTTGCCCGCAGCTGCAGAGCACAGGCCGGCTGCTGGAGGAGCAGCTGCCTGAGATGATGACTGAGCTCCTGGCCAGCGCCCGAGACAAGATGCTATGCCCCTCGGAGTCAATGCTGACCCGGTCGCTGCTCCTGGAGGTCATCGAGCTCCATGCCAACAGCTGGAACCCTCTGACGCCCCCCATCACGCAGTACTACAACAGAACCATCCAGAAACTGACAGCCTGACAGCCAGGGGGCCTGGCGGGCGGCCCGCGGGCAGCTGGGGCCCTAGTGCACAGGGCCAGATGGACAGGCGGGAGGACAGAGATGGCCCTGGTGGGAGAAAGAAATGGGGAGGAAGGCAGGCAGAACCGGCGGCCAGCCTGGAGCCAGAAGGAAAAGGGATCAAATCCCTAAGAGGAGCGCCCCCCACCCGAGCCCCCAGCCAGCCCCGAGCATGCGGCAGCTCACACCAATACGGGAAGCATGTTTCTTTTTCACATTGGCCCCGGCCCTCGCCCCGCCTCACACCCACTCCCCCTACCCCCGCCCATCAAACGTGTCCCCCGCAGGGCTTTGTGCTAGGGGTTTCATCTCTGTCACTCCTCCTTGGCAGCCCGGCGCGCCGGGGTACTGCTTGGGTCAGAAAGGACCTCAGAGGCTGAAAAAGTGGGTCGGAGACGGGCTCTCATTGTTCCTGCGTGCTGTCAGCCGCAGTCGCCAACTGGCAGCAGGCGACGCGTAGCAGATGTCCGGGAGGACAAAGGCAGGCACGGTCCCCACCAGCCGCCCGTCATTGACGGCCTTTGTCCGCCGTGGTCGAGCTGGGGGCCGGAGGCGTCCTGCTCTAACCTTCGCGCTCCTCCCTCCCAACTCCCAGTTCCTCCTCCCATCACCCCCAGGCCTCAGGCCTCAAGCGAGGAGCAGGGAAGGGAGGTGGGGTTCCACTTGCACTCTTGTTTCACTGTGTTTTATTTTTCAAAAGTCAGTCGCTTTGAAGTTTCCTCTGTCAATGAAAAGAGCCTGCGATGTGATCACACAGTCAGCTCAGTGAGGACCCCCTGATTAGTGGGAGATCAAACCCAGCCCCCTCTGGAAGGATTCTAGCCACAGACAGCTTGCCAGTAGCCAATTAGGGTAATTGGAAACTTCTGCCCCAGCGGGGGTCCGCGCAGGAGCCCTGTGCTCCTCAGCCCCTGGCCTCCAGCACCTCTGTTCTCTTATTCTAGCTGCTCTCTCTCAAAGGGCTGTTCCTGGCACTGCTGGGAGTGCATTAAACTCCATCCTGGCCCCAGGCCTTGTGGTGAACAGGGCAGAGAACCAGGCCGGCAAATGAAAGCCAAAACACTAGGTGACGTTTCCCCTTTCCACACACAGGTCTTGTCCTGAGCCCTTCCTAGGGTGGGGGGCCCACTGGCTCCCTAGAACTTGCACGTTAGCTAAATGGGTTGTGTGGCTGTCCCTGGCCTGCGGCAGGCAGGATCCAGAAGCCCAACCCTCAGCCGAGGTTGTCTGGCTCCAGGAGGGACTAGAGCTGGGCACTGCAGCCCCAGGGCTGTCTGCAAAGGGTGCATTCATTGAGTCCTGAGCAGGACAGTCAGGTGACCAAGTGGAGCTCCAGACAGAGCACTCCAGGCCGGGAGCAAAGCTGGGTGTTCTTGGAAGTGCCGGGTCCTGGGGAGCAGCAGCCCCTTTTCAAATGGCCAGACAGGAGGAGGAAGCAGATGCTAGGAGGCAGACTTTGGGTTGCCACAGGCATCTGCACAACTCCATCTGTGGGTGTGGAGCCCACGTTGTGATGTGCCCCCAGAATCCAGCTCCTTCCTTACTTGCTCCTTAGTCGAAGCCAGTGACTTCCTGGGTCACTGGAGGCCCCTGGCTGCATTGTCCAGTCTAGCTGTCCAGGAGCTGAGGATGGGGAGAGGGTTTCTGTGGGTCTGGGAGGGCAGGCACAGTGGAGTAGGAATCAGCTTCCCCAGTACTCCCTGCTCTCCCCGTCCGGTGCTACCTGCCTTCCAGCCCCAGGGTAGGAGCCTGTGCCAGCCCCATAAAGAACTTGTTGTGGACAAGGCAGGAGGCACAGGTTTACCTAGAACATAGTCGCTTCTGCCAGGAAGCCCATGCTGCTCCTGGCCATTGCCTTCTCCCTCCGGCATTCTCAAGCTTCTCTTCACCTGCCCTTATCCCTCAGTTGGCACCTTGTACACCAGCCTGGGGCCCAGGGACACCAGGCCCCACCAGAGGGAAGAGCTCAGCTGATAGTTGACTGCTCAGAGGGACAGCAGGGAAATCATGGTCTGGAGGAGTGAGGCAGCTCCAGACATATAGACAGCTCTGGGAAAACAACACCTACGTAAAATGGGCCTTGCTTCCCTCAAGCGTGTGCGTGTGTGTGTGTGTGTGTGTGTGTAAGAGAGAGAGGAAGAGGGGAAGAGAGAGAGAGACTCAGCTAAAAATGTGAGAGAAGCAGGACCCCAAAAAAAAGAGGCCCAGGAGTAGGGGAACAAGTCAAGGAGGCAGGGAGTATTGGGGTTCTCTCCCCCTCCACTGAGCTCAGAGAGCAAACTTCATGAAGGGACCCCAAACACAAGCACCGGGGGCTGAAGTAGCACCTGGGCACCGAGGGCTCTCCCCTCCCCCCAGAGCCCTCCTTGACACCTCAGGGCCCACCCCTCCTTGATCGTTAGGACCAGAGTATGAAGAAGTGAGATATAAATATGTATACATATATAAATATATTTTTAATTACGTGTCGTGTCACGGTGGCTCCAGACATATGGTTTGCGTAGTTAATTCCATTGCTTGAAAGCGCTTCCTGGCCCATCCGAATATTTAAACTCTTTTTCTAAATGCGGGTTGCTGCTACTTTTTCAGACATGGCAGGAAAACGTTTTAAAAAACGGTTAAGGAAATAACAGTAAAGCATCAAGTCTGAGACTCTGAGGCAGCTCCCCATGGGAGACTACTCAGACAGGAACTGGGGAGCAGAAATGGGTGCCCCTCAAGCCCCCATGCCCTCCCCAGGCAAGGTCCCCCTCTGCTGAGTGAGGAAGGCATGTCCAAGTTGACCTCTGAATGTATCTGACGGGAGGCAGAACTGGATATTGCGTTTCCTAGGCTTCTGCTGTTTTCCCTCCTCGCCCAGTTTTCTTGGCGTGCTGAAGAGGCAAAGTCCGGCCATGTGATGTTGACCTTGTCTTGGTCTCTCCCCCCTGCCAGTCAAGACGAGGCAGCCATTGTTTTCCTCTCAGGCAGCCGGCCTGCTCGTCACAGTCCTGTTCCTTGTTCCTGAGGCCTTGTGGCTTTGCCTGAGCCCTGGGACTGCAGCCCCAGGAAGAGTCCTGACCTTCCCTGACAAGGCGGGAGCCCCACCCCCTCCATGGGGAATGTGCACCCCCAATCCAGTGGTGTCTGTTCATCCTCCCTTCACCAGTCTGTAAGTCTTTAAGGTTTGGGGAATGTCCTGTCCATCCATGTAAATGTAAATGTTGGCGGAGTTGGTATTTATTCTAATTTTTATTTTTATTTTATTTTCTCTGAGGGTTGGGAGGGGGGTGTGGGGATTGTACCACTGATCACGCCCTGGGCAGCTGCAAGGTCAGGAGCCCAGAGAGCCAGCTGGGCTGCCACGAGGAGAAGCCCCGTGGGGCCGCCCCAGACGCCAAGGCCCAGTCTGGCATCAGAAACCAGCCAGTGTTCCTTGTGTGACTGCCTCTGGGCCTGCCCATGGAGTCCTGTCCCTCAGCTGCCGGACACTCTGTTGGGAAACCTCTGGCTGGGCCTTTGAGGACACAGACCAGAAGGACGACAACACTGCTCTGCTTGGGACACTAGCACAGAAGCCACTGAGCCAGCTGGGAGCCTGTTGGCAGGACCTACCTCCCTGGAGCATGGGCCTGGGGCTTCCCGCCAAAGCTGCAGTGGAATCCTGCTCACGCGACCACCTTCCCTCCCTTGGTATGTCCCGCTTTCCAGCTGAACCCAAACTACAAGTGGGTTTAAAAAAATAAAACAACACCAAAACACAAAAATGCCCCAAATCTGTGTTCTCTGTGTGTTCAGCAAAAGAGACCTTTCCCAAAATCTGTTGTGCCTCAGCTGGCACTGGCAGAGGCCTCAGGGGAGCCCCTGCCCAGGCAAGCGGTGAATGAGAAGATTCCCTAAGTCTGGCGAGCTCAGGGGGGAGGGGTCCGGGGCTGGGGAGGGCTGTGGCATGGCCTCAGAGAAGGTCCCAGGATTGAACACTGTGGCCCAGCCAAAATACTGGATTAGGCCATCCTGCAGAGGTGGCTTTGGCACTAAAGACGTGGTTTGCTGTGTGTTCAACTGCCACCCCCAGACCTACCCCACCTCTGAAATGTTGCTGTGGCATTTGGCAATGACTGGTTTTAAGAAGACTGAGACTTGGGCCTCACAGCTTCTAAAAGACGGCAGCAAGTGGCTGTCTGGTCCCACTGGGTCAAATCAGTCTTTCATCAAAGGGTCCTCCAGGGGCCTGGTGATTTATTTTCCTGTGATGACTTGTCCCTTGTTTTGCACAATTCCTCCCAGGCAAGACATTAGGGACACTGCCTCCTGGTAACAGACCCCCCTTGAGGATTCCTTCTGGCTGGAACTTGCCAGTCTTTCAGCAACTTGGGGTGACTACCAGAACATCCATTCGGTCATACGTCCCTGGTCTGGCCAAGATGATAGCCAGGGCAGCCCAAGGGCCTGGCGAGGACCTTAAGATCGGTCATTCCCACTACTGTGTCCCATGACACCATGCAGGGACAGTCAGAAGTACACAGATTGGTAAAGGAAGATAATATTTTATTTTATCAATGCGGGACACTTGTCAACCCTTTTTTTTTTTTTCTTTGATAAAAATGCAAAGGAAGGAGTAGGAACAGAAAGTAAGGTCAAATGACAGGTGTTTAAAGGTAGGAGAATGGGTAGAGGAGGGGAAATATTGTGCACCAGAAGGAAGAGATTTTTCTAGATAATTCAGTCCTTGTTCCAGAATGTTCTAAATTACTGAAAACTATGAGATGTGTCCCCCAAATAGTAAATGTTTACATCCTGACATTCCTCGTATCTCTGCTGGCAGAGATGTGTTTGCCCAGGGAGGGAAGGAAAGACTGTGTTTTGCTTTGTTTTAAAGATTTGTTTATTTATGCATACAAGAACTGGGGTACAGGCCAGAGGTGCAGGGGCTGAGAAGAGTCACCAGAGACAGAGCGGGGAACAGAACAGGCAGACTGTTGGAAATACACTGCTGAGGGGAGCAGCGGGCAAGACAGGAGAGGTCTGCTGTGCCATGTGGGTTGCTCCCTGGCCGGCTGGGGATAGAACTCATGCTGCAGAGGCTGCGGACAGCTTCATAATGCTATGCTTGACCCCTTGCACCCCCAGGGAGGCCCCTGTTTTGCATGAATAAGTAGAACACGCAAACATATACACACTGAAGGGCCTTTTTAGTACCAAGGCAGAGATAGCCGGGGGAAAGGATTGAGAAGAAAGGGAAAGAAGAAGTTATGCCTGAGTATCCAAGGTCCCTCTTGTTCCCCTAGATCCCCAGGGCATCCATACTATGTCTCAATGAAGTGGGCGGAAGGGTGATTTTGATTCCCATTTTACAGATGAGAAAACTAAGCCTGAGGAGGTGGCATGACTGATCAAAGGCCAGTCACTACAAGAGTCGGGCAGAGTGAGCACCTGCCTCCTCACCCAGCCCAGAAAACCAGCTGTCTGCAGCACCCCCAGCAAGCCCACCTGTCAACCCGGGGAGCAGTCAGCTGCCCACTGACACAGTGGAGAGTGGGAACATAACAAAATATCTCAAACTGAGTGATTTTCTCAATCCTTTCCCTAGCTGTCTCTGCCTTGAAGTGGGTAAGTGAGGTTGCATAGTTTGCAAACGGTCCTCTTGGATTTCCTCCAGGTCAGTGATTCTCAAGTTGTGTAGAAAGCGAGGGAGACCCTCCTGGGATGGCACACTCATGTGGCGTGTGTACATGTGTGATGTGTGTATACTTGTATATGGTATGTGATGTGTGTATGTGGTGTGTGTCTGTGGGCATGTGATGTATGTGGTATGCGTGTATCTGTGTATATGGTATGTGTGTGTCTGTGTTTATGCTGCTTCCATGCCAGAAATTTCTATGGTCCCAGAGAGTCTGTGCCCAGCTATCTGGGCAGTGGGCAGCAATCACACCCGCCTCCCCTGCCCAGGGCGACTCTAGGGAAAAAATATCTCTAGAGACTGAAGCCCCAGAGAGGAAACTGCAGGACTGTGTCTTGTCTGTTCCCAGTGAAACCAAGGACAGGGCAGGGGGACAGGGCTGCTCTACTTGCAGCGTCTGCCCCTCCCCTTGAAGGGGCTGGCCTGGTGGAGGCTGGGAAGAATGTCCATGGCTCTGGATCCCTGACTTGAGCAGGGAGAAAACGTGCCCCCATGACACGTCACAGCTTGCTCCATTTCCCCTGGTCAAACTGCACCAAGAATATTTGATTCCCCTTGCAGAACCCAATTTTAAGCAGTGCCCAAGCCAGGGCCATGAGTGGGTCAGCAGGGAGCTGGTGGTCAGTGAGAAGGAGAGGCTGCAGAAGTCAGGATGTCCCACCTAGGCAGGCTCTAGGTGTACCCACCTGTCCTCAGTGGTCACCTCCACCACCAGAGGGACGAAGGAATGTGGAACTGGACACAAGAGTGAACTGCAGACCCCTGACCCAAGGACAGTCTGGAGGTCAGCACAAGAGGTGGCAGGGATGGCCGAGGGTCAACAGATGGGCAGGTGCCCCCACTCCAGCACATGTTCCAGCAGAAGCTCTGCCCCCTCACAACGGTGCATGCAGAATGGATTAAAGCCAGAGGAAAGGTGAGAAACACCTAGAAAATCAGTTAATTATGCGCTTTCCTGTGTGACAGGATGTTTTAAACAACCATTTCGTCTGCTCAGAAACATTTGCCTACTTTCTATCCCCCCATGACTTTCAAAAGTGGTGGGTCCACCAGATACAGAAGGGGTTTTGCCGATCTAGAATTAAAACTGTGTTAGCATGTGCGGTCTTCCTGAGGCTGACGGAGGGGGCTTTACCCCAGTATCCAGGGAGGAAAGCTGTGCCTGAGCACTGGGGAGGGGGAGATGGAGCCGCAAGTAAGAGTGGCCTCAAGCCACACCAAACCTGAGAGCAGCACCGCCAGGGGCGTCAGCAGAGGAGCATTCTCCCCTGGCTCCACATGCACATCTCTGTGTCCATGGAGGCCTGTCTTCCTTGGACCTCAGTTTCCCCATCTGTAAAAGAAGGATAAGTGTGTTGGGTTTTTTTTAAGTTTTCTTTCTCTGAGTCTCGAGTTGTCTTTGCTAATTAATAAAGGAGGGCGGGGGGGGGGGGAGAGCAGGTAATTAATGGTTTTAACATTAATTACCTCCACCTGGATCTCCCAGCGCCCTCAGCCCCCTGATTTCCTCTCCCTTATGATGAGCTCCTTCACCAGTCTAGATCATACCCAGGCTGACCCTCCCGGGGAAGCTTGTACATTTCACACAGGTCCTGGAGGAAGGGCGAATAATAACGACAACCTGCAATGCAAAGCTTTTCCAAGAGCAGTGAAGGGTCTTGCCACCCATTCACACCCTCTGAGGTCTTGGATGCACTTTCATCCCATTCCAGGCAGGGGCTTGCCCTCGGGGCCAGGCTGAGAGTAAAACTCTCTGGGGACTCCAGAATCAACCCTTCATGCTTCAGCTACTTTTGTCTTCAGAGCTCCCACTTGTGTCCCGGGCCAGCCCCTCCCACTTCAGTCCGTTTCTCTCCCTGTCTGGCATTGCCCAGGGTGTTCTCTTTAAAGGGAAACCAAAAGTGGGTCCCGTGTTGAAGGCGTTCTCATGTGAGAGGGGCCAGGAGGGAGACAAGGCCACGACTGGCTGAGGACACTGAGCGGTGTCCCTCGCCCCCCACCCGCCAGCTGGACTGTGTGCCTAGCACGGGTGGCCCCTTTTGGTTGGGCCCCTCCTTGCCTGGGTGGGCCCAGGCAGCCCTGTCTGCTCCCTGGAGCCTTCCTTTCCTGCAGAGCCGCCGGCTGGGGCCCAAGCTTGGCGGCTTTCCTGGGCTGCTGCCGGATCGATTATTTCGGCTCCCTTTTTGCTGGGGATATCAATTTAGCAGGTTCCCGGGATGGCTGTGTTTTAACCTCTCACCCTGGTCTAGACTCCGTCGGCTCCCGCTGTCCCTCGGCCAGGAGGAGATGGAGGGCCCCGGGTCTCTCGGGCAGGCTCTGGAGCCAGCGGATTTCCAGGAACAGATGCTGGGATCGCCCGGCGGCTCCGCAGCCCCGCCAACCTGCCTCCCTCCAAACCGGCCCGGTGAATTATTAAAGATGCAATTTCCTTTCATCTTTCCAGTAAAATCGCTCCCTGTGCCGTGATCTTCTGTCTTCCTGTCACTGCCTGCACCGGGGCCTTGGCGGGACCCTCATCCATCCCACACTTGCCCTGGGCCTGAAGCCGCCTAGGAGGCCGGGGAGTGACCCCTTCCTAAAAAGGTCCAGAAAGCCCAGGAATCTTGAGAAACTGGGTGGGCAAAGGGACTTGGAATCATAGACTATTGGAGGCTGCTGTTTTCTGGCTAAAGGAAAAGTTGCCCAGAGAGGGGCAGCGGGCGGTCGCTCACCGCACAGCAAGCCGTCCGCAGGGCTGAGGCTGGAACCCAGGCCCGGTCTCCAAGCTGAGGCCTCCCCCGAGGGAGTCTTGGTTCTCTCCCTCAGGATGCGCCCACACACACCTCCCAGGAGGGGCGCTGCGTCAGCCACTTGCTGCATCATGTATTGAAGGTCCCCGAGTGTGATTTATAGTCTGCTTGTTATTTACCATCCAGTCCTCGCCCCTGCTGCTGTGGGTTAGCTGAAAGTAAAGCCATCATCATTCCTACCCTCTTGTCAGTATTTATTGTTTCAGGTTTTACGGCTCACTCTTGGTGGTGGTTGTAGAGGTGCTGGCGGGGCAGGCTATGGCGTCCCCTCCAAAGCCTGAAGCTGCTTTGTGTGAC